TTTTTTTTTTTTTTGAGTTCTTTGAAAACGGATGAGTAATTTATTTAGTATATATGGCATATATAGAATAGTTGTATGTATTCCCCCATCGGAAACGTTGCCTATTCCTTACTATATACTTCTGCTTGTATGTCTGTAGCTGTGGCTATAATGCAGCAATTCAAGGTCATTTGCAAGCCAGGTATGCACAAAAATATTTTGTCCATGACTCAGCACGAAATAAATAAATTAATTAAATAGAATAAAGAAAACCAAAAATATTTCTTCAATAAACGTTAATTTGAAAGGCAAAATATGTATATATGTATATGTGTATATACTGTTAAATGCGGAAAAGCAGCTGTCAATATTTTATTTAATCTCTTTTGTATAAATTAAATATATATATTTATGTTTTTTTCTTTCATTTATTATTATCAGCGTTGAGTGCATTCAACTGCCGTTGGAGCATGACGCGCATATTAAATTCAAGTGTGTACACACTGATATATATAAATTAATATATATACTACATATATATATACGCATTTATATACGTATGTATATAAAAATTGTTAAATATAATATATATATGAAACATATATACATATATATTTAAATCGAGCTGCACACACAAACGCACTTAGTTATAAATAAATTAAATAAAGTCTCTTTTAATTTTTCGCATTTGCTCGAAATTGAATTTTCATGCATTTTCTATATTTTTAGAATATTTTCTCAAGATTTCCCTCTATATTCAATTTTTCCGTTTTTCTTTTATTTTTTTGCTGTCTTTTTGCACCTAAGCAACGAACAAAGCGCACCAACACGAGCGCACACATTGTGAGTGCATTGGTATGCGTGTGCATGTGCATGCGCAGTGCAAGCATGACGGCGACGCCGACGTCGACGTTAATATCGCTGCTACTGTTGTTGCCCATGCTTTTTCATTGCTGACGCTTTCTTGTTCTTGTTGTTGTTATTGTTGTTAGCGCTGCTTTTTTTTGCATTGCGTCCGTTTTACTTTTTCGCTTGCCTAGTTGCACTTGAGTGAGTGAGCGAGTAAGTGTGTTTCTGTGTGCATGTGTGTGAGTGACTGATGTCTGTGTGTTTGTGTGACTTCATTTCCTTTGTCGTAGGTCATCGCCAATGCGGAAAAATGCGTTTTACAGCTCTGAAATTTGTCAGTTTTTAAACGTTTAACGATTGTTTTATGCATTTGAGGTACTAGGTTTCGGTTTTCGGTTTCATTTTTTCAATGTTTCTAAATTGTTAATAACAATTTATATATATTTATGTGTATATTTAATTATTTTTTGTATTTATCACTTTAGTTTTTGGTTTTCGTATTTAATTTGTTGAATTTCGTTGTAAGTAAATTTTTTCTTTCACTTGCCAAACGCATTTTGTGCCGTTGCCGTTGCCGTACATTTCAAAGTCGCGCTCGACACTGACAAAAAGGTAGAGAACATTTTCCCCGTTTGGCCAGAGTTGCCATATTTTGCAGTAAAAAGCCGATGCCGATCAAAGTCAACGCGTCGCCGTCGGCCGCTTCGTGCAATTGCAAAAGCACAGCCCAAAACGAGGAGACGCCAACGCAGGCAGCAAGCAGCTAGCAGCAGCAGCGGCAGCGGCGAGCAACAAAAATGGTAATAAAACCAAATGAATCGCACCAAGTGCATCCACACATACACACTCAGAGAACAATCAGACAATTACACACACTAACACACGCGCGCGAGCGCTAAGGCTATATAAGTTGGGAAAGGGGAAGCTTCGAAGTGCCGGCCGCTTTTGCGTGGCAAATTTGTTGGTGTGTGCGTGTGTGTGTATTGCAATTTTCATCTGTCTGCTCACTCACGCCCCTGCGCTGCCTCTCTTTCACTGACGCTGGGTATGTGCTCTCGCTCATTCACTCGTAATTGTTGTAATGCAGCCGCGGACTTGTCGTCTGTTAGGGAGCGTTCTTATGCGTATGTATGTATGTGTGTAACTATCGAATGCAATAAGTTTAATCATCTGCGGAAGGTTACGGCGACAGCGGCGTCGACGTCAATGTTGGGATGCTTACCAGTGTTGAAAAATGCGCCGCCTACACAGCGCGATCGTAAAAGTACAACGCACCTGCAATGCAAATTAATGATGAAAAGAGAATTCACAACAAAGACAACCAACAGTAGCAGTAGCAGCAACAGAAGCAATGACAACGACAACAAGAGCGGGCAATAGCCCTACGGTAATGTAACGGACGGCGCGGTGACGTCGCGAAATACCGCGAAACAAGAAATTATGCGGAAACCGCGAGCACTTGAACGTTACTAAACACACATACACACAAGAACACAAACACGCAGAAATCGTAAATGCACAAATACCGCCACAAGTACAGGAACTGAATGTGTGTAAGTAAGCTTTGCAAACTCAATGCGACGCAAATGGAAGTAGAAAGAACAAGCAGAGAGCGAAAAGCGCAAGCGACCGCGATGTGCAACGAATCTTTTGCAAATGAATGCAGGCAGCGGCTTTGGCGACAAAAGAAACCTGCACCGTGGGCTAAATTGTTGAAGAACTGCTCGAAAAATTCCATCCGAGTTGCTGTGAAATTCAAGACGCCGAGTATTAACAGCAACGTCGGTTATTTGCTGTTAATTTATAAATTTGAATATAATCTTAAGACAGAACATCATGCGCGCTTTTACATAAATTTAGCATGAAAGATTATACGCCTATTCCACTGTGCGCGTGCAGTGATGGAATCACGGGGCATGCCAAAAAAAAAAAAATACTGAGCTTTCTCTTACTGATACCTCTGCAACGTTAAGAGAACGACGCATTTATTTACTCTTTGAAAAAGCTTCTCTTTGGAATTCTTACAGAGTGCCCCTTTAAAGCTTTGCTTGAAAATAAACAAATAAATAAGAGAAAAACAAATGATTGAAAATGAATAATTTTTTAATATGTATTATTGTATATTAGTTTATTATATTAAAGTAGATTAAGTGCAACTAAAAGTAATAAAACACTTAACTTATAAGATATGCAAATGAAATATACATATATCAAAACAAAATAGCGGTTTGTATAATAAACTATATAGAAATAATATTTTTATCTAGTTAATATAACGAATTTATTTCAAATATTTTGTTCATTTTAACAGTATTCTGTTAGTCAACAGTAAAGCTTATCTGTTGGCTCATTTCTGCGTCCAATGTGCGCATCTTCCACCTTTGGTGTTTTCAACATTTCAGTACGACGGTCTCACTGCTACATTACTGGTGTGCGCGCTGCTTTGCAACTGTTTCTAGAATTGTGTTTTTAATTGCTGAAATACATAAATAGTTTATAATGGCATCCATACTACGCACGGGCAAACTGTTGCGTTACTTTGCAGGCTTCACGCGGAATGTGGTGGTCAACTCGGTGCGCGACTGCGAGAGCAACAATCTCCTTCAATCAGCGCCCTGCATGTGCGGACAATTCCAGAAGTAAGTTTCGAAGTTTCTGCCCGGCATTACGCAATGCATACGGCTATTTGTGCAACACGATGCTGAAAAATTACATCACTTGTTGCAGTATTATGAATACCCAATATGACCATTCAGTAAAGTGTAATTGTCTTTCGATTTCTTTGAGAAAATTGTATTAAATGTTTGCCCACATTTACATAACCTCAAAGAGTAGATGCTAAAAAAACTGACATAAATATTTATTATTTCTCTTTTATTTACTAGTGGTTTTGCTAGCAATGCTGCCGCCAGCAAGGCGGAGGTAACCTTAGATCGACAAATTCGTCGCCTGGATCAAGATGCGCGTCGCATGGGCCGCATATCCAGAAGGGATTTGGAGGAAGTGTTGGATGAGATACGCACACATCGCACAGCGACCAGCTCACAGTCGCTGCTGGTCATACGCTGCTGTGGCAATCTGGTGCCCGAGGAGCTGCCTGAAGTGCGCACTGCTTTGGTCCAGGAGATCTGGAAAACTCTGAATGCCTTGAATGTACCAATGGATATATCGCACTATAATGCCCTTCTGCGCGTCTATCTGGAGAACGAGCATCAGTTCGCGCCCACCGACTTCCTGGCCGAAATCGAGGCCAAGGGCATCGAACCCAACCGTGTGACCTATCAGCGCCTGATCGCTCGCTATTGCCAGCAGGGCGACATCGAGGGAGCCACACGCATCCTGGAGTATATGCGCGGCAAGAATTTGCCCGTGAACGAAAATGTCTTCAACTCCCTCATACTGGGACATTCACAGGTGGGTCCATCCCTACCACTTCTATTTGCTAATCTCAACTGAATCCTCTCAATATATATTGTTTGTTAGGCCAACGATCTGGAGTCCGCTAAGGGCATCCTGGGTGTGATGAAGCAGGCTGGGCTGGAGCCCACTGCCGACACCTATACTACGCTCCTGTGCGCCTTCGCGCGCCATGGCGATATCGAAGCACTGCAATCGACGCTCGCCGAGTGCGAGCCAAAGGAGATCATCCTGCTGGACAAGGATCTGTTGGATATTGCCTACACGCTGGCCGTGCATGGAAATGGCGAGCATGTGGACGCAGTGTTGTCAAAGCTGCGCATATCCCCCGGCTTCAACCAGGATGCGGTCAACATTATATTGCGTCTGGTCAACAAGGGCCAGGAGGATGTGGCTCTGAAGCTGCTACGACTGATGCCGCGCAACTCACGCGTCAACGGCGAACTGGTTGATGTGGGCGCTTTCTTCATACGCCAGCTGGTCAAAGCCAATCGACCTGTCGAGAAGATCCTGAGCATTTGTCGCACTCTCCAGTCGGAGGGCTTGAATCCCAAGGCGTTGACCATTGCCACTGAGGCGGGTCTGACGAATGGCGTGATGAACAATGCACTTCCCCTGCTGCACGAGATGAAGAATCTGGGTCTGCCCATACGTCAGCATTATTTCTGGCCATTGTTTTGCTCCGTGGACTCCAACCAGGTGCTGGACGTAGTGCGTCGCATGCAGCAGGATTTCGCATTGAATCCCAATTCCGAAACGGTGCGCGACTATATCATACCCAATCTGAAGGAGAAGAACTGGGATCGTGTGGTCACCGTGCTCCGGGATGCGGGTGTGCCCAATTCCACAGCTGTTTCGTCCGCTGTCTATGCGGCTCTGACCACCCATCAGATAGCGGATGCTGCCAAGATTATGGAACAGAATCGTGCCTACTATATGCCTCTGATCTTCCGTCAGCCGCTCATCCTGGCGCTGGCCCACACGAATGATTTTGCCTCCTTCATACGTTGCGTGCGTCAGGTGTACGAGGGATTGCAGCTACGGGCCGGCAAAGAGGCCACCGAGGATGCAGCAGACGCAGCCACTGATGTCGAAGCACCAGCCACTCCTGAACGACAGACACCCGATGTGGTGGGCCAAATTGTCTATGATGCGGCAATCTACTTCCGACGTGAGCGTGTGCCTACTGTGGAGAAGATATTACAGGGCTTGGTCAATCAGGGTCTGTCCCTGAGCAGTGCTAAAGCGACGGCGCTGTCCGAGCTGCTCGGCTCTGAGATGACACCCAAGATTGCCGAGCAGCTGGGCAAGCTTACCTCGGGCGAATTGGAACCGATTCCATTGCCCAACAGTGGAAAGCGTCCCCTGGATACATTAACCATTGACGGTGAGTGGCAGCGATTCATATTTAAAATAGATTGATTATATTATCTATCTACTAAATGTTTCTAGAACTGGAACGCTTCATCAAGAATGTCGAAGCGAAGGGCGAGAACTCGAACAACATTAAGCGCCAGCTGCTGAACGCCTGCTTCCGTTCGCAAAACCTGGAGAAGACGTTGCAGGTGATCGAGCGGCTCAAGAATGACACATTCCAGATCCCAATCGGCATCTATGCCCAGCTCGTCGATCTGTATACGCACCACAAGCGCACCTCGGACGCCCTGGCGCAGTACAACAAGCTGCGCACGGCGGACGCCAATTTCAAGCTGGACAACTTTAAGACCGTGCGGCTGGCGGATTTGCTGCTGCAGGAGGAGCGTGTGGATGAGGCGCTGCAGCTGCTCAAGGAGAACCAAAAGGAGGCCGCCGCTGAGGCCGGCGAGGGCAGCTTCAACTATGTGAGCACAGTGTGGCGCATCCTCAACAGCATCGCTGAGACGGGCAATGCGGAGCGGCTGAAGGTGGTCTTCGATGCCCTCGTTGCGGGCAACTATGTGGTGCCCACGAATGTGCTGCTGGGGCCGTTGATCAAGGTGCATTTGTCGCGCGACGATATACCCAAGGCCATCGATGCCTTCGAACAGATCTGTCAGCAGTACAAGGCGACGCCCTGGAAGAACGAGCTGGCCTGCCGGCTCATCCAGAAGGAGGATGCGGCCAATTTGCAACGTCTCACGGATTTGAGCACGAGCATACACGGCGAGGTGAACAGCCTGTACGATCTGGTGTTCTCCTTCGTCGAGTGCGGACGCGTCCGTCAGGCGAGAAAGATTTTGGAGACACCGGGACTGCGCACCCGGCCACAGCGCATCAGCAACGCCTGCGACCGGTACAAGAACGAGGGCATGTTGCAGCCGCTGGAGGGCCTCATTGAGGCGACCAAGGATCTGGGTCACATCGATCGAAATAAGATCTATTACACGCTGCTGCTCAGCTACGACAAGGCGGACGAGACTGAGAAGGCGCTCGGACTGTGGACCAAAATGCAAGAGGAAGGGGTCACGCCCACCGATGCATTCCTGCTCAAGCTGGCGGAGCTGCTCAAGCGCAAGAATATTGACGTGCCCTTCGTGGTGCCCGAAACGCAGCAGCCGAAGAGCAAACGGAACAAGCCAACCAATACAGAAGCTAAGGTGGGTGAGCAGGTGGTGCAATCCCCTCCAGAGCCCAAGGTGGAACCTAAAGCTAAGGCTGTGCCCGCAGCCAAGCCCATTTCCAACATTGCCGGTTTCCGTCGTGCCATCCAGGCCAACGATCCGGATGCCGCAATTTCGTTCAAGGAGCGCGTCCTCAGCGGGGATAAGTTCAGTGTGCTGGATACATCGCGACTAATTGAGCTGCTGGTGCGTGCCGATCGCTTAAGCGAGGCCACCAAATACGTGGAGGAGCTGCTCGCTGAGAAGCAGCATCCACAGCCAAAGATCTTTAAATTCTATCTGAACAAAATTGCTGCCTCGGGTGATCTGGAGGTGATGCAGCGCATTCGCCAGCAGCTCAATGATGAGCAGAAGCGTCTCGTTTCCTTTGACAATCGCTATTGCCACGCCTACATTGTGGCTGGAAAGGCGGAACAGTTACTTAAGCAGCTGAGCACAGAGATCGAAGCGGTCAAGTCGTCGGAGGAGGCGGGCAAATTGGCCGAGAAGTTCCCACGTGGCGGCGCCGTCGGCATCTTGGACAAACATCCCGAACTGATTGCTCAATGTAAGTAGATCCTTCATCCTTGCTATAAACTGTCAATAATCTGTAATTCTATGCCAGACGAGACTTTGGCTGAGAAATACGCCGCCCACAATCAGCTCGGCCCGATGAACGTGCTGTGGATGCATCTGATATCGAACGGCCAGGAGGTGGCCTCCAAGCAGATCTGGGATAAGCATTTATCGAGTGCACCGCGTCTGATGTTCCAGCGTGTGCTGCAAACAGCGCGCGAGCAGCAGGACGAGAAGCTGGCCTCCACGGTGATCTCACAGCTGCGCGGCAGCAAGATCAGCGAAGGCGCCATTGGCAATGCGTACTCCTGTTTGATAGACATACAGACTACCAAGGGCAATACGGACAAGGCACTGGAGGTGCTAGCCAACGCCATCAAGGATGTCTCTCTCGAGAATATCAATCGCACGGCGCTACTGCGCCTCAAGCAGGCCGTCGAGGAGAAATCTCAACAGTTTCCCTATACAGTGCCCGAGAAGCGTGCCAAGGCGGAGGATTCCAGCTCCTCGAGCAGCAGCAGCGATGACGATGTGACGCCCAAGCGGCCAGAAACAGCGCCCACAAGGCCAGAGCGTGTTTAGATGGCACATAGAAATCGGATCCATTTTCTTAGCATAATCCTAATTTAGTATGTATATTGACCTACGAGAGGAGTGTAAGCAGAATATATAGAGCTATATTTATGTTTTTGTTGCAATGCATTCGAGATTTTTAATTTGGGCCACATATGTATAAGTCCCATCACAACTCGAAAATGGCTTCAACTATATTTTAACCTCGATTCAAGTTTGTCGATTGCCCGCCAATGGCTCGGGCTCTGGCTATACCCGTTATGGGCGCCACACGGACCGTCTGCTCCGTCATGTTCGGATCACGGGAGTGGCCGCGTTCGCGAGCCCCCTTTGGTGTGATGGCGACGGTCGTGTCAGCACGCTGGACCTTCTGCATGGAGGACTTCAGGTCCTTGGTGAATGTCTGATAGTTGCGCCTGACCATGGCATCGTAGCCCTCAGGCAATTTATGGAAGTTGGCCTCAAAGAACAAACGGAACCATACAGCGAACTCGTAATTGTCCTGGAATTTGCCCCTGACCAGCTTATGGATTGGAATACTCTTGTTGATCTTTAGTTTGTTGAAGCACTGTTGCAACAGGGCTAAATTGTGGATGTAGTGGTTCTCTAGGTAGCACTTAAATTTCACTTTGCTCAGGTTAATACAGTCTGGCATCAGAATGTCCATGAGGCAGCAATAGGCTGCCCCAGTGCACAGATCATCGATCTTTTGAATATCGGTGCTTAGGACTTGATTGCACCAGCTCAGGATCGACTGACGGGACCAAGTCGTTTTCGTATTATTTGTCGAAATTACATTGACCAGACGACGATTCAATGCCATGTCTACGGAAATGACTATGGAAAATGTAGTAGAGAGCAACAGTTCGTACCGCTTACCATTCGATTGCCTCCGAAGACAAAAATTTACTTGATATAAAAAATTTTATTTTTATGGTATCCGAAAAGTTAAAAAAAAAAGTATTCAGTTGTGAGTGAGGTGTATTATAACACCGTTTTGTGAATAAAAGTTATATTTGTAAATGTGCGAAGAGCTCGTTAAATGATCTACCCTCGACTTAATCAAAATATAAACTGAAGCTACACATTTTTTCTCCTTTGTATTTTGTATAAAATGGCTAGCTATTTTTTCAACGACTGCTTTATAAACGTAATTGTATATAATTTTTCAAATTTTGCTTGGCGGCAAATGTATCGAGCAGCCGCCACAATGACTTTGACATATCGATAAATATTTATAAAAAACATATCGGCACTTAAGGGTTGCCATACATTATATTATCGCAACCGCTGACCAAGCGGCCGCGTTTGCCAACGTTTAGCTATAAAAATTTTCAACACTCAGTTTCGACAAGTTACGCGTTAGAATTATACATTCGGCATAAAAGATGCCGAACAGTGATGCCGAAAGTAACGCGAGCGATAGCTCCAGTCATAGCAGTAGCAGCAGCAGCAGCAGTGGCTCCACCAGCAGCACCGGCAGCGCTAGCAAAGGCAGCAGCAGCAGCGGCGAAGACAGCAACGCTGGCAGCAGCAGCATCAAGCGGCCAAGTGAACATGAAGAAGAAGAGGAAGACGTGGGACAAGCAAACAAGCGAACGACAGGCAAAGACAAGGATAATGTTAAGGATGTTAAGGAAAAAGTGAAGTCGACAAGTGATAGGGAAGAAGAAGCAGAACAGTTTGTTGACAAAAATAAAACAAGCATTGCTGACACGTCTGAGCGGAAAGAACAAGAAAATGCACCTAAGCCTGAGAGTCCCGCAGAGGTAGAAATAAAAGAGACAACAAGAGATGCAGTTGAGGAACAGCAACAAGTCAAGTTATCAAGTGAACAGCCTGAGAAGGAGCAAGAACAGGAGCAGGAGCACAATAAGCAACAGCAGCTGGAGGAGAAGGAATTGCCAGCTGTAACCAGCAATGGGAATGGAACGAGCGAGAAGGCCGCTGCTTCTAGTCCTACACATAGTAACGTGGAGGAGGGAGAAATTACCGATGTAAGATATAAATTTAAGGATTAATTTATGCCCAATCTTTAATTTGTTTTATATTAATATGATATAAACTTTGCAGAAAGAGGATGATGTTCAGCCCGTGGAGGATACAGCAGTTGCCGATGCGAGCAACAACGTGACCAAGGAGCAGGAGCCGCAGCTGAAATCAATCATTAGCCAGGTGCCGCCGACCAGACAACCACCGCAAATAGCCAGCCATGTGCGGAGACGGACTCGCAGTCGATCCTTCGACGAGGAGGAGGAGAAGCAGCAGCGACGCCGACGACGACCAGTATCGCACAGTCGCAGTCGTAGCCACAGCACGAGTCCATCCCGTCGCCAGCGACGCCGACGCACGCGCACACGCAGTCCGCGCAGTCGGAGCATGAGTCCAGTGCGACGCCGCTCCACATCCATAGAGCGTAGGCGCGCTGAGCGTCAGAAGCGTCACGAGGAGCGGGACAAGCGCGACGAGGAGCGTGCTCGTGAGCGTGAGAAGCGTCATCGGCGCAGCGATGAGCCGTCCTCTGCGGCTGCTAAACCCAGCACGCCGCCAGCCGAGAATGCGGACAATGCCACCGTCAGTGAGCCAGCGGCCAAGATTAGCGAGCGACAGCGTCGCACCGTCGATTTACTGACCTCGCGCACTGGCGGCGCCTACATACCGCCGGCCAAGCTGCGCCTCATGCAGGCCGAGATCACGGACAAGGCTTCCGCGGCGTATCAGCGCATCGCCTGGGAGGCCCTCAAGAAGTCCATCCATGGCTACATCAACAAGGTCAACGTCACGAATATCGCAATCATAACTCGGGAACTCTTGCGTGAGAATATTGTGCGAGGTCGTGGCCTGCTCTGCCGTAGCATCATTCAGGCGCAGGCGGCGTCGCCCACCTTCACACATGTCTATGCGGCACTGGTGGCCATCATCAACTCCAAGTTCCCAAATATTGGTGAGCTACTACTGAAGCGTTTGGTTATCCAGTTCCGGCGCGCCTTTCGTCGCAATGACAAACTGGTTTGCATGTCTGCCACGCGTTTTATTGCTCACCTGGTTAATCAACGGGTTGCGCATGAGATTTTGGCGCTGGAGATGTTGACGCTGCTGGTGGAGATGCCCACCGATGATTCCGTTGAAGTGGCCATTGCCTTTCTGAAGGAATGCGGCATGAAACTGACGGAGGTCTCCTCTAAGGGCATTGGCGCCATCTTCGAGATGCTGCGCAACATTCTGCATGAGGGCAAGCTGGACAGACGTGTGCAGTACATGATTGAGGTGCTCTTCCAGGTGCGCAAGGATGGCTTCAAGGATCACCCGGCTATTGTGGATGACCTGGAGCTCGTGGAGGAGGATGATCAATTCACGCACCTGATGATGCTGGACGAGGCCACCGAAACAGAAGATATACTGAGTGAGTGAACAATGGAAACTCTTCTCCAGGAATTCACTAATCTTTCAATTCTGTTTTGCAGACGTCTTTAAGTTCGACGAGAAGTATGCAGAGAACGAGGAGAAGTACAAGGCGCTGAGTTGCGAGATATTAGGCAGCGATGCCAGTGGCTCGGGATCTAGCTCCTCCGGCTCTGGTTCGGATTCGGACAGTGATTCGGATGGCGAATCTGGCTCTGGCAACGATGCAGATGGCAAGAAGGCTGACGCTGGCGATATTATTGACAATACCGAAACGAATCTGATCGCATTGCGACGTACCATCTACCTGACCATCAATTCCAGTTTGGACTATGAGGAGTGCGCGCACAAGCTGATGAAGATGCAGCTGAAGCCCGGCCAGGAGGTGGAGCTGTGTCACATGTTCCTCGACTGCTGTGCCGAGCAGCGCACCTATGAGAAGTTCTATGGGCTGCTGGCACAGCGCTTTTGCAGCATCAATAAGATCTATATACCGCCCTTCGAGGAGATCTTCAAGGACACCTATCAGACGACCCATCGCCTGGACACGAATCGTCTGCGCAACGTTAGCAAATTCTTTGCCCATCTGCTCTTCACGGATGCCATCAGCTGGGATGTGCTGGAGTGCATACAGTTGAACGAGGATGATACGACCTCGTCGAGTCGCATTTTCATCAAGATCTTGTTCCAGGAACTGGCCGAATATATGGGCCTGGGCAAGCTGAATGCGAAGCTCAAGGAAGAAGTGCTGCTGGACAGTTTGGCGGGTCTGTTTCCCAAGGATAATCCGCGTAATACGCGTTTCTCCATCAATTTCTTCACCTCTATCGGCTTGGGCGGCTTGACAGATGATTTGCGTCGATTCCTGAAGAACGCGCCCAAGACAGTGCCGGCCATTAATGCCGAGCTGCTGGCCAGCGGTAATCCGTTCAAGGATCCAAATGCCACTGGCAAAGCGGGTCCAGCTGCCAGCTCGTCCTCCTCCGACTCCTCCTCCACCAGCAGCAGTGACGACAGCAGCAACTCCTCCAGTAGCGAGGACGACGACACCAGCGACGAGGACAGCGACAGCGAGTCCAGCTCCAGTTCCGAGTCCAGTGAGCAGACGCGCAAGCGCAAGCACAAGGAGAAGAGTGTTAAGAAAAAAGAAAAGAAGAATTCGAAAAAGCAAAGCAAGGCCAAAAAGTCCAAGGACAAGGAGAAGGAGAAAGCTAAAAAGAAGTCAGAGAAGACCAAGAAGAAGGAGAAGAAGAAGGAAAAGAAAAAGGCAGCTGAAAAGAAAGCAAAGCGCAAGCGCAAACATGCAGAGACGAGCAGCTCCAGTTCGAGCAGCGCTGGCAGTGAGGACGAGAGTGACAGCAGCTCCTCTCACGCCACATCCTCCGGCAGCGACAGCAGCAGCGAGGAGCCGCAGGCCAAGATTGCGCGCACTGATAACAACAGCAGCAGCAATAGCAAATCAAAGCAAACTAAATCCGCATCCCGGAGTAAGCAGCCGGATTCCGATGGCTTCAACCTGGAGGGACCCGACGGCTCGCCGCCAGCGCGTCAACAGCAGCACAATGGACACGGCCACAGCAGGCGAGAGACATCGCCGACCAAGGAACGGGAGCGAGAGCGTGAGCGAGAAAGGGATAGGGACAGGGAAAGGGAAAGGGAGCGCGATCGTCGCGGCAGGCGAGCCGAGGAGGAAAGTCGCAGCGGCAAGAGACCACGTGATGGAGAACGTGAGCGTGAGCGAGGACGCGATAAGGAGAGAGAACGTGACAGAGATAGGCAGAGAGATCGCGAACGCGAAAGGGACCGGGACCGCGATCGTGATGCACGACCTTCACGCAGAGAACGGGAACGACGCGAATCACCCAGACGCCACCAGCATAGACGCAGCGTGTCCAAGGAGCGCGGCTGAGCAACAGCAGCAGCATCCAAGCCGACCTCCAATGCATTTCCCATCTAATCTAATGTTGAAACGGTGTACAAAGAAACGATCTAAGCCCAGCAGCAACAATTGTAAATGTTTAAAATATATGAAAAAAGCAACAACAAAAATCCTGTAACTTTCATTTTCATTTCATATTCACATATACATATATCGTATCATATATATATCATATACAGTTGGACGTAGATGGACAAAGCCAAAATAGTTTCTATTATTCAAATTATCATTGATCTCTAAATTTATCATAAATGATATAATATGTATTCTGAAATTAGTCTCTTCTTCAGTAGCAGACGGACGGACGGACACCAAGCAGGCACGAATGAGTATAAAAACATAAATAATAATTGATCTATTTACAAAATTTAAGTGGACAAGAAACCAATATACTCATTTCACTTAGGGAATGAGCACACACACTTAAATAATAGTTGATCTATTTACAAATTCTAGTCGGGATCTTATAAATGCCTCGCTGCAAACTTATAATAGCTCTCGATCTGGCGCTGGTCGAGTGATGACTTTTGCCGGGCCAAGACCGTTTCAAAGTCCTGCAGCTCAATGTGGCTGACATTGAAGTCTCGCTGGAAGGCCTCGATGGCTGCCTCATTGCAAAGGTTGCACAGATCCGCGCCAGAGTAGCGCTCGGTGCGTGCGGCAATCTCCTCGAGCTGCACGTTGGCATGGAAGGGCATGCGTTGGGCATGCAGCTGGAGTAGGGCCAGACGTGAGGTCAGGTCCGGCGCCGGCACATGGATGAGTTTGTCGAAGCGACCGGGACGCAGTAGCGCATCATCCAGCATGTCTGGGCGATTGGTGGCGGCCACCACGAGAATGTGCTGCACATTGTCCCCGCTCACAATGCCGTCCATTTCGGTGAGTAGTGTGGAGAGGATGCGCAGCTGGACACCGCCGCCTGAGCCATTTCCAACTGTGCGACGGCCGACAAGCGAGTCGATCTCGTCCAGAAATATGAGGCATGGCGCATTCTTGCGCGCCGTGTTGAAGATTTGCGTAATGAAGCGCTCCGCACAGCCCACATACGGAGAGTAGACCTCCGCCGCCGAGCTGGCTATGAAGGTCATGTTCGCCTCCTTGGCCAGGCACTTGGCAATGGACGTCTTGGCGCAGCCAGGCGGACCATAGAGCAGCAAGCCCTTCGGCAGGCTCAAGCCAAAGCGGGCATGCGCCTCGCTGTGGCGCAGAGCAGCCAAGACGGAGACCTGCAGCGTGCGCTTGAGTGCAGCCATGCCGCCAATCGACTCGAAGCCAGTGGAGAGTTTTAGCACTCTCACATCCGTAGCTCGAGAAGCGCTCGGCTGGAGCTGCAAAAGGGAATTCCTTAGTAATAGATCGAACTCGGCTGGCGTGGGCGACAGGTTAAGCATTCTTTGCTGTAGTTGGCGTAGGAGAAGTGTTAGGTCCGCTATGACATAGCCTTGCGTTTGCTGTGCCACATAGACCAGCAGTGCCGGAGTAAGCAGTTGCAAATCCTGTTCCTGCTGCTGCTGCTCTTCGAGCTGTTGTTGCCAGAGTCCCGCAAACAGTTGACGACGTTGCAGCTCCGTGGGCATGTCGATGCAGATCTCATGACCGAAGCGACCGGCGCGCCTTGCATGCGGATGCACTGCATTGGGCGCGCTGCTGCTGGCCAGGCACAAAATGCCGCGACTGCGCTGCGGCAGCTCGTCGATGAGCTTGTAGAGCTGCGCTGTTATGCGCACGGCATTGCCCGAGTTCCGAGCATCAGAGGAGCTAGTTGCCGGACACAAGAGCTCCAGATCCTCCAGCAATATGACAATTGGCTGCTTCGGATGTAACAGCTGCTGAAAAGAGTGAGCTGAGTGGAAGATGCGGCGCAGCTCCGCTTCCGTTTCGCCGGGCTGTGAGCGTAGAACTTGGGAGGCGGTTATATTGAAGCAATTGCAGTTATGTCGGTGCAGAAACTCGGCGAGCAGGCAGCTCTTCCCGGAGCCGACGGCGCCGACTAGGAGAGCATTTAGAGGCAATCCTTTAAATTGCGCTCGTCGAGAACTCTGCAGCAGCTGTTCCAGTGCCTGCAAAGGAGCCTCAAAACCGTGGGGCTGAAAGCGTTTGATGCGTGGCAAAGTTGTGGCCGCTGGCAGATGCACGTCCGAGATCTCCAGCGTCGTCAGCTCGAAGCAGCTGTTGGATGCCAAATCTGGACCCAGTACATCGCAAATCTCAATGCTGGCAATGCCCAGTTTCAGCAGTCGTTCGTGTTGCACATGACAACCTTTCATCAGCTTCAGGTGGCGCATGAAGATGGCCACATCCTGATGCAGTTGCTCCAAAGAGATTTGCGGCCGTCGCAGTAGCTGTTCGGTAATATGAACAGTGCAGATCACTCGTTCCACGTTGGTTGCCAAAGCTAGGGGCTCGAGGCAGCGTACACGTTGCTTGTTGGTTACGAATCCTGCTGATGCCACCAAACCGTCCACAAAGCAACTTCTTTCAGCTCCAGCGCGCTGCTCCACACGACAAACGGTGTAGCTGCCATCCTCAAGCACACATTTGCACCAAGCGCCATTGATAGTTACCACACCATCCTCCTGGTAGGGTATCAAACAACGTTGTAGCTCTAATTCGCTTTTATCTAGCAAATTTAGCGGCAAGATCATCCAATTGGAGCACATGCCGCAAAGCAAAACATAAACATGTGGGGAAAGTGCGAAACTCACCTCTTGGCGCCATTAAAAAAATTACCACTGCGAAAATATGTATTTTTAAGTAGTCTATTAGTAGTATTATACAGCATTTAAAATATATATCAAATTTAATTAAACAATACTTTGCCCTACTACTTGTTAATTACCTATATAAAGGAATTCTCAGCAGTTTTTTAAAAAGTTGTCCTCGTAAGTCAACAGTTGAGCTGACTGAACGCTGCGCTATTACTATAAAAGATATCTCAAAAGCAACGCTGGCATTCATTCACTGGCAACGCTATTTACCCAGAGTTGCTGGTAATGAAAAATTTCTAGCTGGCAACTCCCTTTTCGCACAAGTGTCGCCTGGCGTGAACACGCGGATTTTACTTCGTGGATTTTTCAATTGTTAAATAAGGTAAATATGCTTGCCATCCAACTGTGAATGTATGCCACAATGGCTAACGACTGCCCATTGAACATTATGCAGCTGCCGATATGACGAAGAAGCGCCGTAATGGAGGACGCAACAAGCACAATCGCGGCCATGTGAAGCCCGTGCGCTGCACCAACTGTGCCCGTTGCGTGCCCAAGGATAAGGCGATCAAGAAGTTTGTTATCCGCAACATTGTTGAGGCTGCCGCTGTGCGCGATATCAGCGAGGCCAGCATCTGGGACACTTATGTGCTGCCCAAACTCTATGCGAAGCTCCACTACTGCGTCTCTTGCGCTATCCACTCCAAGGTGGTGCGCAATCGTTCCCGTGAGGCACGTCGCATTCGTACGCCGCCAGTGCGTTCCTTCCCCAAGGACATGGCGCGCAACAACCAGAATAGGAAGTAAATTGATTAAAAGAGGCGGCTTGCTTATAAATACACAGCCAATGTGAATAAACAACAACAACCACAACAGCAACAATCCACACACACACTATTGTAAACGCTAGCTACGATTCTTGGATAAATGGCACGTCTCGGATATTGTGCGGCGTGGCCAAATATAAGCATTCGGTTTTTTTTAAACAAATCAAGGATTCGTTAATGGGAACGGGCTAAATTTGATTCAGATTCTCTGCTCGTTGGCGTGGAAATGTCGCTGGCTGTGGGAGGTGGTGGGCCTTCAGCAGCATTCCAGGTGCTTCCGGTTGCCCGGCGGCTTGCTACAGATGCCGGATACGTTATGCATTTAGTCGTGTGTAATATCTCATTTCCGGCTTGCGCCTGCCGTAATTTTTAGCTGCACAGCAGGATTACACACACGCATTGGAGCCGGCATATTCTTTGAGGTTAGGTAACTTAAGTTAAAAATAAATTTATTTATTTTATGTCTACAGACATTGCAAGCTGCGCCACATGAAATCCATAAAAATTAAAAGCAAACACATTCCGACCCACACACTCGTATGCAAGCAGCGAAGTGCTGTAATTCGTAATCTTTGTTTGAAAAGCGCCGCCCAACGGCGGTTGGCACAAGCAACTGGAACCTACAAGAAGTGTAGCATACCGTAAGCTGCCGCAACTGTGGCATACTTTTAGGCGGCTGCTAAAAGAGCAACAAAAGAAGCAGCGAGAAAAAATGTATTGCATGCTGCTTTTTGGCATAAATTTTGCAGAAAACGTGAGCGCAAAGGCAAATGAGTTTGTGCGCTCACTGTGCGTGTGTGTGTGCGGGCGTACTTCCGCTTCCTGTTTACCCCTTCTATGCCCACTCTACATTTATTTTGCTCTTTTTGTGCTTGTTCAGCAGTTTGTGCGCCTTCTACACGCTAAATTATTGTTTTCGTTTTGCTTGGCAAATAAAACGTAGACATAAGCATCTGCCGTTGATCATTTAGCATAAATTACTTAGAGAGAGACGAAGAGAGGAAGAGGGACAGAGAGAGAGAGAGAAACGAGTCCTAATGGAGGTTATGGCAAGTGCTCCACAGTTGAATATGAAAAGAAATGCATATATGGCAAATTTCACTTGAGCAATAGCATCAAGAAATGCGTATGAAAATATAATATTCTGAACACCCCGTGACATGAATGGAGTCGGCTAGTATTTGCTAGCAATATCTAACGTATATAAAGTTAAGAAATTTATTCATGGTACGCTTTGTTATAGAGAGATAGTTTGTCCGTTTCACAGGAAAAACATGATTAGTTATGCATGCTGGTGGCTTTGCTGCGAGCATGCTCCAAGTTGTGGCCGTGTACACCGCGGAGCTTGAGCTCGGCACAGTTGCCCGAGTAGACATCATTGGCGAGATGCGACAGCGGCAGCTCCTCATCGTGCCGGGCCGCCTGGATCGCCTGCTCCATTTCCTCGCGCACGCTCTGATCGATGATGCGCAGTTGCTTTTCGGTGAGCAGCGACATGTCGAGACAGACCTTGCGGAACCGATTGATGGGATCCTGACGTTGGCGCACCTGGTTCACCTCCTCACGAGTGCGATAGCTAGTGCCGGGATCGGACATGGAATGACCCGCATAGCGATAGGTGCACAGCTCCATGACCAAGGGCCCCCGTTGCTGGGCATACTGGACGGCAAAGCGGGTGGCACTGCGCACGGCCAGCACATCCTGGCCATCCACCCAGATGCCGGGCAAAAAGTCGCCTCTGGTGTAATAGTCAGTGTTGCTGGAGGATCGCCAGGCGCTTGTGCCCATGCCGTAGTTGTTGTTCTCGCAGACAAAGACCATCGGTAGCTTCCACAGCTTCGCCATGTTGAAGCACTCGAAGATCTGGCCCTGATTCGCAGCCCCATCACCATACAAGGCGAAGCAGACGCCACCCGTGTCTCGATATTTATTGGCCAAGGCAATGCCGGCGCCCAGCGACACCTGGGCGCCCACAATGCCGTTGCCGCCGTAGAAGTTGGGCGCATACATGTGCATCGAGCCGCCCTTGCCCTGGGCACAGCCGCTCGCCTTGCCAGTGAGCTCGCTGAGCACACCCTTGGCCGTGGCGCCCATCAAGTAGGCCAGTCCATGGATGCGATAGCCGGCTATCAGATTATCCTCCTTGCGTAGAGCGGAGCAGAGGCCGACTGCGCACGCCTCCTGTCCGGTGGACAGATGACAGAAGCCGCGCACCAACCGCTCCTTGTACAGCTGCGCAGATGCCGCCTCCAGGCGCCGGATGGCCAGCAGCTGCTTCATATAGAGCGCTGCCTCCTGCGCGGTTAGAGCGACCAGCGTATCGGGTCCCAGTTCCAGTTTATATAGCTTAAATTCTAGGAATATGCGCACCAGGCGCACCTCCTCCACATATGGCTCCTGCCTCACAACGCTTGCCTCCTCGTGCCCGGGCGCCAATGGCCGCGGCAGCTGGGCAGCCGTGCAGCTGACGAAGCGCTTCAATGCCCGGTTCACCTGCTGCTGCAGCTGAGCGGATAGAACCGTTAAGACATTTCGATACATTCTGGCAATATCCTTTTGATTTTTTTTGCTTTTCACTTGGATTTTAACTGAAATGTTGTGCGTAGTAGGTGTCCGAATATAAATAGAATTGTATGGAGTCTCAATTTCACAAAGATTTTGTTCATAAGCACAATTTATAAATTCACAATTTTATCTCAAATTAGGCAGGCGAGATTGAAGACTCTCATGATTTCAGCTGAGGCTGAATGTCGTTGTAGAAAATAAGAATGTCGCTCTGGAATCTAGAGATTAACTTTGGATGGACTCTAGGGGTAATCTTTGAATTGCAGTTTTGACTAAAAGATGCTAAATTTGACATATCAGATTTCCAATTCAACTTTTAGTTAAGATAATTTGTGAAATGCTTGATAGAATGTAGAGCTCATCTAAATTGAGTCAATTAGGAAAATCGAGCAAACAAATAAAGTTGTGAGATTGTTGTCCCGTATAAAATTTAAGATCTAGGGAAGATTTACTTGTCAATATATATATATATTTTTTTACAAGTATTTATATGCCCTGAGTATTTAAAAACTCGATTTATCATTACTCTGAACATGTTTCATATATACATATGTATATTATTATAAATATTTCAAGTATATATACTTAAATTTTTTCCATACAATTTTCTTCTACATATTAGATATGTTAGTTAGTATTCGATTCATTCAATTCGAATTATTCCATTCTTTTTGGGTAGAGCTTGTGGAATAAATAGTCAGAAAACTTCGTTTAATATTCGTCGTGGCTAAATTCGTAAATAAAAGTTTTTCTATTTTCATTACTACATTTTCCGTCGGCACACAGTTTCCACTATCTGTCGAGCACATAAAATTCCGTGTGTCATATTTTATTTTAATTTCCGTTTTGTTCTGGCCATTCTTCGACATTGCCAATAGCTTCTCATATCATGTATATATATGTATGTATTTTGGTATATTCTTCATTGTATCTATGCCATGGCCAGGACAAAGCACTTTCGCTGCCTTCTGCTGACCTCTGCCGCCCCCGTCGACTGCTGCCCACTCGAGTTGTGGCAGCATTTTCGCCCATTTGCAGCGTAAATAAAAACGTTAAATGTTTTTTTAACGTGCGCCACTTAACACTCGGCATAATTTAAAGGCAATTGAGCACAACAACAATGGCCACAAAAAATAAAGGGCCAATACTGAAACATCTATATCAATGCATATATATATATATCCTATATATATCATATATATGTAGACGTGTGACTTTTCTCCTTCTTTTTAATACGCTGAACACATAAAAATGGCCATAAAGGGTATCATAAAGTTGGCCAAATATACATACATATGTGTGCAGTCAGTCTTAAGGGTATACCTAAATAGACTTTTATCTAAATACATTTTTCTTTTGATCTGTATCAACTTTCACTTCGTTTAAGACTTGTGTCAAAAGGTTTTCGGAAGTGTTATCTTTTTTTTTTTTGTATACCCTATAAATATGAGTTTGTTTGTATCTATCGTATTAAAATTGAGGTAGCATCTTTCCTTTAATTTCGATTCAGTAATTTTATGGAAAATGTCTGCGGTACAATTATTTCTGTTCAAGTAATAAAGTTTTTTATTTTACTTTATAGTCCACCTAAGTAAGTTTTTCTGTTAGAAAATTTTAAATTTCATTCCGATGCTGCGTTTATTTAATTTTTTTTCTTCTAATATTGAGATAAGTTTTTATTAAGATTTTATTATTGATTATGTATATTTCATGAAAACAAAAATATTTGTTTTTCGTAAAATTACATTTTATTTTCAAAAAAGTTTTCTTCTATAAATTTGTTTAACATGAAGTACTTACAGGGCATCGTCCAGTCGTGCATACTATTTCAACAAGTTTCGTATATTTTTTGTTTGTTTTATTGTTATTATTTGACCATTTTGGCTGGCTGTCTCGTAATTTAATATAGATTTTTAGCCCATGTTCCAGCTCGCTTTTTATGCCTTCGACAATAAATTGTCAATTGATTTTTGCGCTCATTTATTGTGCTTATGTTGCAGGCAATATATTTACTTACAAATACACACAACCCAACATACATACATAGATATGTATAAATATGTTTTACTTTTATTTTCTTTTTATATTCCTTTTTTGTATTTTGTCAATGCCATTTTGGGTCTTGAAAAATGGGAAATAATGTGGAAAATATGTTTAGACTCGGGTTGTCGCGAATCTTATTAGGTGTTGCTCTCTGTTCTCCTTCAAGTGGGGGTTGTTGGGCGCTTGTCAAACAAATCATAAAAATAGCATTCTTTTTATGTATTCAGAAAAAACGGCTGGGCGGGTAGGATGATGGGAGCCTTATCAAATGGCGTTGCATTCATTTCAATTATGTTGAAGGCTGTGCAGATTAAAATACAAATAGACACCCATACATGTGCATAGCATAAACAAATACATATAAATATTTATTCATATTTTACTTTCACATAAATATCAGCAAAAGTGGGTGGGGTGGCTGGCTGTAAGGGGACACACATGTTATGCCTTCAGCAATAATATTGTAATAAAAAATTTGTTTGTATTGAAAGCAGAAGTGTAAAATATGCCAGCATTGTGGCTGACGCCTACTCCCACTACAAGCGCCGCAT